TTTGCCTCTGACTAACTGCAGTTACTAATTTGAACTTTTTTCATTGTAATTTTATGTAAAATACATTTTTTGAAGTGTATCAAAGCATATTTAATTTTATATTATATGTTTCTGAAACTAAATTAGTAAACTTTTTTTTAACATCTACAAAGAAAGGATTTATTTGCTAAATCAATAAATACTTTTAAAATTATTTTTAAATCATCAAAAATTTTAAAAATCTTTCACTAACTGGCAACTGGGAATTAAGATGGGGAAAAAATTGTATAAATTAAAAAATTGACATCTTTATTTATAGATATACTATCACCAAGTGCATTAAAACAAAAATAATTTTAAAATGTTCTTCAAAAAGAGATTTGTTGAAGTTCAACCTCAACTTTTTTACTTATTCTAACATAAAACGAATATATGATAATGGCAGTCCAATTTTCGTAAAAATAATCTTTAACTTATTTTAAGATAATTAAACATTCTCTATGTATACATGCTAAAACAAAAAACAAAACAAAAATATCGACGATTTGTTAAAAAAAATGTTGTGGTTTTCAAAATGTTATTTTGTTAAGAGGCAAAATTTTGAAAATTAATCATCCATAAACCTTCCCTTGGGTCAGGCGAGGTCCCTTAAAAAAATTTTGCCCGATCCGGTTATCCGTTTTGACGTTTATTAGATACAAACAAACAGACAGACAAGCAAAGTGTATCTATAGATATGTGTTATTTAAATATATATTTTTCAATGTTTGTTTATGTTACATTACATCATTGTCCTTATTCTAATGTTCGTCCTCGACCCCTAGAAATTCCTTTCTTTTCTTAAACTACAATATTTCCTATTTACGCAGTACCCCCCCTCCCCATGCACACAAATTATGCACAAGGTGTTCCAATATATCTGCAAATAATTAATTTAAAGAAAATTTAGTTGTTAAATTTTACTTGATTTTACAAATCTTTTTTTAAAAGGTCATTCTGAAGAGATAGACATTTTTTTGTTACATGATGTAGGACTAGTAGGACTCAACGTGAAGAATCCGTGATCTTGGACTGTTCGTGTATGCGTCACCCTTAGGCAGGGAGGGGTGGGGTGGGGTAGTTACGCCAAGGGTAGGAGGAGGGGAAAGAATTGAACGCAGAATTTTATGTTAACAACAACAACACGTTGTAGAGATATACAACTTGGACTCCGTGATATTCCCGTGTTCCCGATGTAGCTTAGGTGTGAGGGATGAAGTCTGGGGTGGGGGGATTTTTATCAATTCAGGAGGGGAAATGCATGGTGATAGATTGGGGAAATTCAGGGTGGAACTGTATGCAGTGTACACTGTACAACATAATTTTGTTAAATTCGTATTTAAACTTTCAAAATTTTAACCCAAAGTTTGTAACCGAGAGGTTGAAGCAATTAATTGGCATGGGGGGAGAGGGTGGGGGGATTTTTTAAACTCTGAATAATAAAACAAATAAAAGGTGAATTTGATAAAAATTGTGGAATTCAACTAAAATGCTAACATTAAAAAAAATTTGCCTTGGTAAGTAAATCTTAAAATAAATATGATTAATATCACGACACTGAAATGGCAATCTGAATTTTAAATATAATTTGATAAGAATACTAAATTAACAAGTTGTCATGAATAAAACGTAATGATGAATTAGAATGGCTTATGAACAAAATCAACTTTTATATTTTACCGAACCCCCCTTCCCCTCCTGTGTCTCCCATGAACCCTATTAAACATGGATGGAAAATACCCTGCTCGAAGATTATTATCAGTAATTGTTATTTCATATTTAACCCGAGATACACCTCCGTAAGTCAGTCTCCCCCTGGGCCCTTTCCCCTCAGACAATACGCGCCGGTCACATTGGGGAGTCGACCCCACCCCTCTTTAGTTCAGGTCAAGTAATAAGATATTGACCTCCTAATGCGCAGTTACGCCCCCTCGTATCCCCACCCCGAGAACACCACCCTCTCTCCCCCCTTCCTCCCCTACATACTAAATGAATTTTAAGTTTTGAAAAATCTTGTAAATTGAAAGATTTTTTATTAAAAAAAACAAAAATTGATTAGAAACTCTTAATTAGTTTTAAACTTTATGACCAAGTTTACTATAAATAAATAAGTTTGCAGTAAAATGTTATATATTGCCCGCGTTTACGACTTGAAATAAAAAAGTTATGATTATGATGTAACCTAACCTTTCATCCCCCTAGCCATGGCTCCTTTCATGTATTTTATTTACTATTTGTCAGTTATTAACTTTTATAATTTTTTTAAATAGATTTTTAAAGAATTTTGGTAATTTTTTTGTGGGATATTATAAATTTCTCTCGTGAAGTTAAAATTTTGCTCATATTGCTTGCAGATTTTTTGTACATGACAGCATTGGATTATTATGCATTATTTTCAAGGCATGGCAAGGGTAGGGCCTTTCTTCGCACATGTATTGTACATTAAATTAAGGGCCTGGTAAAAATGAAAAAATCTTAATGTTAACATTAAAAATTCTTTTAATTAAAAAATATTAAATTCTTTTTGAAGGGATATGATGCACATTTTTAAGTAGCTGATGCCGTCTGGGTCAACCCTCAAAGATTTTGGCAAATATAAAAATTGAACTTAACTAATACTAGCAATATTAAGCCGTTTTCAAATTCATATTATTCCATGCTCATCATTTCAGGGAAAAAAGTTTTTTGAAAAATACAAAAGTTGTGCCATATAGATATCTGGTGGGATTACAATTTTATACAGTTTTCATACACTAAAAATGGCATGACAGTGTCAAAGGCCTTCTTCAGTCTTCTACATAGTTTCTCTCTTTCTCTGTGTCTTCTCTTCTCTTTGCGCGCGTGCAATCAGAACGTTCCTTTTCCGCTAGAGATGCGCAGAGGTTGTAAAGATGCGCTCTGCGCACTTGCAGACAGGAACACTACCATTCACATACAAACTTCTGACAGTCATTTTATAGACCTTATAAACAAATTTGCCATTTTCTGCCGAACTATTTAACAAGAACATGTGTATATAAACATTTTATTTTTTTAAGTTAAATCAATAAAAATATGAAATTCGGATGATTAAAACCCCTGACAGCGGATCGGGCCTGCCCGACCAAAAAGAGGTTGCAATAATAATACTAATGGAATGTGATTCTCTACGGATAAACGTTTTTTTGGTTAGGATATAATTTTAAATTATTAATTTTAAAGTATTTCTTTTCAGATGTTAAGTCATTTTTTTTCGAAATTTTGTCCAGAATTAAAACTGCATCGTGCGGAGGCTGCAAGTATGGCGGGCGGGGCGAGGTAGATTTTCAACTGCCAGTGTCATCCCGACCGTTTCAGAGTTAACGCCACAAGCCTCGTTCTCTGGTTTATCAAAGAACTAAATTTCTTTGACTTTAACAATATTTAGTTACTTTCAGACATGTAAAATTAGTCCTACACTTAGCAAGTGAACCGTCTAGCCATTTTTTAAGGATTCTGATCTTAGAAATAGTGATGAAATGAAATATTATTAAAATTCGACCTACATAATGAAATTATAGAGTTTCCATATCAAGTTAGTCAGATATCAACTAAATCGTGATGTAAATGATTGTATAGACAGTAGTGTTTTTTGTCCTAAACATTGCCCCTACAAAGTGAATAATTGAAGCACAGTGTTTGAATACCTATTATGAACCGTATTAATTATGGATTACTTCTACTTACATACTTATTCTCTAAGATACTTGAAAATCTACAATAAAAAAATAAATCTCTGTAAGGCTTTATGTGATGTGGTTACTCAGTTTTTTTAAGGGGGGTTCTAGTAACCCCAGAGCGTCATTAATACATTTGTTCAAAAATATAACAATCATTGATAATATCCTGTTTCAATCATTTTGTTATTGTTTTCTATGAGACGAGACCCCTTGACAACTGCTGCGGATTGGACCTTGGCCAGTTTTTTTTTCTGTGTAACCTTCGAACTTCCCGGGCAGTATGTCTGGAGAGTCGGGATTCTGGAACATTCGATTTTTCGGGAGAGGCGGGGAGGGGGGGGGGTATTTAAAAAATCGATTTTAAGGATCGGGGGGCGTCAGGGTTGGTTGTAATTTCCAGAGATGAATCGAGCTTGTTTTGGAGGTTGAAGGAATGAGTATCCTTTTTCTTTCTATCTATCTATCTATCTATCTGGTGAAAAGTGCAAAGTACGAATGCATTAACTGCAGTCTAAGCTTGACAGCACTCCCGTCCACTCAGGCAATAGAATTTCTTTAGCTCCAAGCCAATTGATGAACAGTGCTCTGACGTAATTCAGAATAAAATTGTGAAAATCCTGTTTTGCTGATGATGCAATTTTGCGGAATTTCATAGAATAAATTCGTATTTTTCGTAACATTTTGAAATCTTTGTACAATGATGCAATTGTAAAGAACGTTATTTTTGGGGTCTTTGAAAAGAGTTTAGTTACCATCAATTCATTTTGGAACGGAGTCATCGATTAAATAAAAAAAATCGGTAGACATTTATTAATCAATAGTATCCCTTCTTTTAGCTCATTTATTGTTCACTGTATAAGTAATATAAAGAGAGAGGGTGGAATATAGGTCATATTTGTTGCACAGTTTTGATTAGTATTTTGTGGTTTTTTCGTGTTGACTTTCAAACTACTTATTTGTTTCTTAGAAATGATAAAGAGTATTTATCCAATCATATAATCCCACCCTCCTCTCCCCCTCTTGGTATTATATTCCAGAGATGAGGCTCTAATGATATCCAACACCCTAGTTTGCTAAGTAGGATTTCAAGTAACAAAATAAGGGCATTAGCCGCTAGATGATGAAATTCTATATTTACAGTTAACAAAATAAAAATTAAGCAGAATTCACCTTAAAAATTTTATTTTAAACAAAATCTTTGTCTAAAAGTGGCTAAACGGTTAACTCTCAATGTATTATAAAAGTATGCCGTTGTCCATGTTTAAAAAGTCGTCTTTGTTTCAGGGTTGTAATAGACTGGGGGACTCGTACCTGTCTATATGTCAACATACCCTCTGTACACTACTATCTTCAGGTAAAAACCTCATAAATTAAATAAGGAAAAGCGAAACAAATTTTAACAATAATTAAAATATTTCAAAAAAATTAGATTGCGGAGTATCTCACTAAACTGAACTATTAATGGTTTATTAAGATTTTTTTAATCTTCTATTATTAGTTTTTAAAAACAAGTTTAACAGTTTATTAGTTTTCCATAATGGGTTGTGAAATAGTCTTTTTCATTTAACTCTTTCATCACATGATTTTTAAAACGTCCTTAAAGTTAGATTTGAACAAAAGTACAAATAAAAAATTCAAAATTTTTAAATATTTATTATTTTATTTTCAGAAACCCCTCCTCCCCCTCCTTGTAATTTAGACTGCAACGCCTTCATCATGTTCTAAACCTTAGTTCAGGTATTAAAATTGTTAACAGTCCTCGGGATTTATAGCCTTTGGATAACGGACCGAGGGGGGGGGGTGTTATTTTTTTTCAGGGGCGGATACAAGGGGGTGGCGGGGGGACATTCGGCCCCCCACTGAATTTGGAATTTTTTGTTCCTATTGTCAGAATACCTTCTCAATAGCATGCTTAAGGGAAAGAAACCCTAGTGCAAAAACGGAAAAATATCTGTCTTAAACTATAATGTGTGAAAAGTTAAAAATCTAGTTTTTTAGTCTGTAGTCCTTAATTTTGACTCTTTTGAGTCTTCTAAGTCAAGAAAATCACTTAAATCCCGTATCCGCCCCTGTTTTTTTTTTACAAAAGTTTGTAATTTTTCCTCTTCTTCCCTCAAAAGTCAAAGTAATTTATTTGCGACTCAAAATCTTATTTTTTTCAATTTAGCATTTTAAAACTTAAAATGTATTATTTCCTTCTATTTCCTTCGTTTTTTTTTTATGTTTTAAATACGTTTTGATTTTCATGAAGCGCAACTGTTTATTTATTCATATAAATCCATCATAATTTCCCTGTAATTATCCCTCATAATTCTGTAATTATCCGTTCTAATTGTTTTATTTATTATTTAGGCCGGGTTGGCCTGATTGAGGCAAGAGCCCTCATTCTTTCCCTCACTTACTTTGACCTCCACTTTAAGTAAGTATACAGTGCAGTGGTCGCCAATATATAGTGGAAAAAATCAGAAAATACAATTATTTGATAGAAATTATGCTGTTGAGCTAGATTAAATTGATTAGAATTATTTAAATTTAATTTTAGACCATGGTCACTTGAACAGTATTTTACGAATTTTAAAATATTTTCATATTATTAAATAATCTTGAAACTGACGGCATTTAGTCGCATATCAGATGGAATAGATTTTTTCAGCTCAGCGCAAATTGTATGATGTTACATTTCTTTATGTCTCCGTAATGTACAAAAAATCAATTCTTAAATTACACTCTTTCCAGTTACTGTTTCAATGAAATGTAATCAAATATAATGATCGTATATTTACAAATTACAAATGGCAGAAGAATAAAAGAATTTCTCATGGTTCTTGGTCTGGTGGGAACCTGCTGATAAAATCATGATTTATGAATTAGCTCCAGTTAAAATCTGCGAAAAACGAACAATAAATTCCGCAATTTTTGGTTAGAATTTCAGAACAATGCTCATTTAAATTCTTGTAGGTAGTATGGAGGTTCATCCGTTACTCGGTCAGCTGGACAAACTGCTAGCTGAGGAAGGAGAACTGGTTGGGCGTGGTCCTCTGGCCCTGCCCCACCAAGGCATCTCTCCAGGGATGCGGGACGGGTCCGCCCATGTCCTGAGATGCCTGAAGGTGTGGTTCGAACTCCCAACTGACGTGTTCCACACTGCAACTGCTAACATCGACACCTTCTTGGCCAAAATGAAGGTAAACCCTCATCAAATATCTAAATATTTTGATATTATATATTTTAATATAAACATCTTAAGATGTAAACAGAAAAAAAGTGAACATGTGTCTGTTTGTTCAGGCGCAGCCGAAACATCTTTCGTGTATAGCCGTCGCAGCCTTTCATCTGGCCTGTAATCAATACAAGATGGTAAGGAAATAAAAATAGTTGTTAAACGTTGAAGATGTTTACATTCCACTGAGACGTATTAGAACTGTAAACAAACAGTTAAAAGACAGGCTGTAAACAGGATTTTCGAGATTTATAATTTTTAGATTTTTTGTATCTTGGTTATTGTTTGTTCTTAAACAAGTTTCTGATTGGGTCAAATTAAAATGGGTAAACAAAATAATGGTGATCGGTTGACTAATTGCTGATGTAGTGATTGATTGATCAGCTGAGTTTGTTATTGATTGATTTGCAGGAGTTCGGTTGTAGTGTTCCTGACCCTCAGACCCTGGTCAACATTTCACAGAGCAGGTGCTCCGCGTCCGACCTCACCAGGATGGAGGGGATACTGGCAGCTAAACTAGGCGACCAGGTGCAATCACGATATCTTTATTATTGAAAGAATTCTTAACTAAATGAGATATATTCTGTATGTTCAGATGAAGATAATTATTTGGTATACACAAAAATAATGATAGCTGCGTTCAATATATAATCGTAATTAAAAAAATCTTATTCGAAATTTATTTCTTGTTAAAATCAAAATTTGAAACAGACTCGCTTCTACGTATTACGTCTCATGTTGATTGTTCAAATTGTTTCTGAGAATTTTCCGCTTCATTTTTGCAGAATTCAAACGTATGCTTATCTTTTTGTTACATTTCTCATACCTTGGTTTTTATTTGACTGATAATCGGATTTTTTTTAACATGGGGGGGGGGGGGTTAGAAACTTTATTTTAACCTCGAGCTGGAATCTGAGTTCCTATTCGGGTCCAGTTTTTAAACCTGTTGGTTAGTTCAGCTGATCTAGGCAATTTCAAGTTATTCAACATTTTAAGAAATCAGAGAGGGGGGGGGGGGTAACAAATATGTGTAAAAATGTTTACTTATGCTTGAATTCTTGCAATATTAAATACTACAGATTTCTGATTCTGAAAAGAGAAAGGTTTTCTTATATTCATTTCTTATTGTGTTATTAGTATTCGAGTAATAATAGAGCAATTGTCCCTGGGCTTCTAATTATCAACATTTGATCATTGATTTATTCATCAAATGATGACATTAATCATAGCTAAAAACTTATAAATGAACAATATGAGCTCAATTCTTTTTAATCTATAAGAAAACGTCAGGTCAAGAAGAGATTAAGATTCACATAATTTTTAGATTTCCAGTTTTCTTTATTGTAATTATCAATTATTGTTTTTGTAGACTATCCCTGCTCTTCCTGTCACCTGCCTATCCTTCATACGATCCATGTGGGAAATCTGTAGAGCAGCTTCTGATCGTCTAGAGATCAGTCCAACTCTTCCTTCTCTTCCTCAGCATCTTCTTCATCAACTAGAAATCCTGGTGAGTCATTGAGTCAAACATTTTAATATTCATTTAATTCAATAAAAATTCAAATATGACCGAATTTTTTTATAAATGCTGTCATCATCGGGCATATATTGGTTTTCTTCATGAGGAACTGAAAAGGGGGGGGGGGGGGTGGAAGTATAATAAGTTTTGAAATGGCATTGAAATTATATGAAGATTGAAAATACTCTTTTTCCCTTGTTAATATTTTACTGCGCCTATAATACAAGGTACATATGTTTTACTCTCCTTCCAAGCTATCAGCAATTATATATTAATGGGACAATAACATATTTATGACACAATTATATATCTATCTATCTATCTATCTAGGTGTGTGATAGTTCAACTATGAAGGTTCGCTCCTGCGAACTAGCATTGGCGCTCTTATGCACAGAGTTTCAAAGGATAGCAGGTAATAGAAACTTTACTCTTTTGACATTGATTTAAAAAAGTTGTTAAAGCTAAAATTAAGACTTAAATTGAATAAATGATTGATTGATTTTTCAGGATCTGAGAAAACAGCCGTTTCCGCTGCACTGATGGGGTTCATAACCGAACTGCAGAAGTACTGCGGGATCAGCACCAAGGAGTTCATCATCTCTCATACCTTGGTTCTTGGAATCCTAGACAAATACAATGGGGACAGTCAGGTAATATTTAAACATTTTTAAACCTGAAGCATTTAAATTATTTTTTAATTTAATTATTTTTTACCCTTTCCCGGTGTTTTAAAAAACATAATTAAAATTTATTAAAGAAACCAATTTTTACGGCACAGTATCAACGTCTCTCTTATAAGTATCTGAAGACCACAGAAGATGAATCAGATTACCCTTGTGCTACTAAAGTTTCACAAGTTGATTTAATTGTTTATAGTTTTTCTGTTATCTCTCTTTAAAGTATCCGGTTTCATTCTGTTTAAAACTAAGCCCGGGAGCTCTACGAGTATCATCATTATTATTAATGATTTGATGATTCAGAGGATAAAGAATTTTGAACTGTAAACGAACAAGTAAAATGAAAAAACCATCTTTACAAAAATTTGATCCAAATTTGACTCCCAACACTAAATGAGCGAACGGTCCTCTTATGTTTTGAATTACTTAAAGCTTGATGATCTAAGAGTAATTCAATTGCGCAGAAACATTCAGTCACAATTTAAACCAGTTTAGGATATAGAATGTTCAAATACTTACTTTTGGAGAGATTATATTTACAAAGCAGGATGAATGAATTAATGAAAGGATGAAAGGATGAAAGTATGAATGATTGATCAAATGAATGAATGAATGATCTAGGTCCCACATCGACAAAGGTTGGTTTGGAAACTGAGCAACCGAACTTTAAAACATCTTCGTCCAACGGATAAACTTCGTCCAACTCTTCCAAGGATATCAGAAGAAAGTTTAGACAGGTGAAATATATTTTTAAACTAAAAATTTTTGCTTTAATTTTTTACTATGCTTATAAAGTGCATTTATTTTTATAATTTTACATTGGAAGTTATATTAGGATTAAAATATTGATTTTTAAGTCAAAATTCTGTGATGTTCCAGCATCTACCCTACGTGTATTTTAATATTTCTATCAATACATGCGTCTAATATTCGTTTTCATGAAAATATTTATAATTTTAAGATTGCAGAATTAAAAAAATGTTAATAAATTTATTGTTGAATGTTCAGATCTGCTGCGGGTCGGTTTCGTTCAGCTAGCGAGTGTTCCCTTGAGAGCCTGAGCGACAGCGACAACTGTAGAACTGCCTGTAGCGATAGTGAGTCCGATATGGAAATGGAGGTAAAGATTTGATTATAAATTAAAAATTAAAAAAACTAGTTAAACATATTTAAACTGGAGATACTCCTGCTTTTTCTATTGAAAAGATTAAATTTTTTATTTTTATTCAGGAGCCCCGGACCTGGGCCAAGATAGTTGCAACAAATTAGACCTTCCTTTCCCCTTTTAGCCCCGGAGGAGGGGCTATTCCAGCGGGGGGGCAGGGGACCTTGGTTATATTTAGGCCCGCCCCCTGCCCCGCCCTCCGGCACTATTCTGAAGATAAACGTGAGGTTGACGCAGAAAACTGCGTCGTATGAAACGGTTGGAGGGTTAGACAACCTCCATCCTGATTGTATCTTTATGCTATATAGTGAATATTGATTGAGTCTATTCTTTATAATAATATTTGACACTTTTAAAACCCATTTGGAACCATTTAGGCCCATGCTGACTTTTAAAATTATAGGCTTCAAACCTAATCCGTTTTTTTGTTAATTTGCATGGGTCGTTATATAAACAAAACCTATAACGCGTAAAAAACAAAACAAAAATTCTCAAAAATAACAAAAATAACAAAAAAAAATGACATGATATAGTTTCCATCAATATTAGATTTAAGTAAATGTAAGGCTGAATTATGCCACGACTTCTCGGATACACACATTCAAATCTTATACTCACATTAACCATTATTTATCTCCGAGCACTTGTGTCTAAACCAGGGTGAAGATGGCATTAATATTTCTCCAGGATCAAACTAACCCCACTCATGACGGGTTGGCGAGATCTTGCAGCGGTATTCAGGCTTTCTTTCCTTGGAATAATTCAACCTTTAATATTTTGCTTCAACCATTATTAGATCTTTAGCTAATTTGGGGGTATTTACTTCCAGGGGCTTTAAACACATATACATCCATGAACCTCCCCCCTGGGGCTGAAATGATGCCCCTGAGGGGACAAAATAGGGACTGTTTGACGCCCCTGAAAGTAGCATGAGAAGGTATCCTGTCTTTGTTACTGAGGCAGGTTGCAATCTCAGTTCTCACCCTGTAATAGCTATGGTACATGAGATGACTTATCCTATACTAACGCCAGATAAACTCCTTGCCCCTTCCCCCTGCCACACCCCCCGCCTACTCAAACTAGCTTACTTTAAACCAAAGAGTAACGTGCATTATTCATGGTTTATTTAACACTGAAAACTGAAAATCAAAACAAGTTTGGATTCTTGAATCCGACATTGCTTCCTTAAGAGGAGCGTTTCTATCTTCCAGCGGGGGGTCTTAACACTACGGCAGGGGTGTAGGAAGGGGCCAGTTCCTGGCTAGGATACTTGTGATGAAGAACAAAGTACAAGTTAGTCCAAATAAGTTGGTCCCGGGTGTTCAGGTCTATATTGGTCTGATACGAGGCCACCCGGGCCCACACCATCATGACGGGTTCATCCTGCTCATCAAGGTTCATACCTTGGTACATAACATCCTTCTTACCTGTAGTACATAGTACTTATCAATGGGTACATAAGAATGTACATACCGACCAGGACCTTGATGTACAGGACTGATCGTTCGGTAACCGAAGAATGCAAAATTTTAAACCGATCTCAAAAAAGCAAAAAAACAGGAGTGCATGAAATTGCGCGCCATTATTCCCCTTTCTTTGGGAAACTGAGACTGAGAGGCGTGTCCTGAGTAAATGATTGAATGTAAGGTTACCGAATTGGTTACCCCGTCTAGACCGACGATAGCGACACAATTCGGCGGCCGAATGGAAAATATCGAGCGCCGAGGTGTGCCGCATCGCCAGTTCTCATTTGGCTGTCAGTGGGTATGTAATGAAGCAGACTTTAGATTCCGTTCCGATCCGTGGATTTGCTTGAGGAGAAGGGGGTGTTGAGGGACTTGAGGTCCGGGGGGTGCTGATTATGATCCAATATTTGGGGAATCATCATTCAGTCGTAGAATTGATCGGAAGTTGAACCGAGCTGTGAGAACGATCGGAAGGATGTCGGAAAATCCACAAAGCTTGGATCGGAAGACATCTCGGAAGATCGATTGGTTCTTTGGAAGATTGGATTCCGATATAGGAATGGTTTATTTATATAATGATGAATTCGGAACGGATCGGAACGGAATTAATTAACAAGTTCACTTTGACAGATTTTTATTGTAAATTACTAGTCCTGCTCTGTTCACAAACGACTCCAGATTTTAATCAATTAATTTGAATGAACTTATCTTAAATCTTGTTTGTGAAAAGAGCATTGAAAGGAGCGCATGTTTAGTATATATGTTGAAAATGGAATTAGTGTTTGTGTTTATATTCCCACATAACCGGTTTATTCATGGCATGCCGTGTACTGCGTTACACGCGCGTCGTTCAAAACAAGATATATTTAAAAAAACGAATTCATACAGACTAAAATGCCAAATTCGTAAATTTTTTTTTCATTCTGATCTTTATTTTTGTTGTCAGATTCTTCATTTATTCTGTATAAAACTTGTGACCGAGGTGGATTCTATATTGTAAAGCATTGGAGACCTTGTAACTCAGGAACTCATGCTTATCCCACTGTAGCTCTGTGATATGGGTTGATGGTTAGGACAGGTTAGGGGGCGACCTCTCAACTTGCCCTACCCCTCAACCCTTACAGCTGACCGAGAAATTAGGTTTTCTGGGTTCTAAAAGTCTTTCAAAGAGAAAACCCTGATATAAAATGAGGAAGTATTGCAATCTAGATGATAAGGAAATTATATTGTACAGAGTACATACACAGCGCAAACCAGTGGATATACATTCATCCTTTGATTAATCTGACAGTTTTATTTATTTCTTTATTTCTTAACAGTTTACATATACGAGTATGTATAATCTATATTTCATTCCCTATTCTATAATTATGTTCATGTATTTGTCCATCGACCAACCGCTCCACAATTGTATATTTCCTTTAACAAAAAATTCGACTCAATTTTTGTGAAATAATTGTTCGTAATAGTAATTGGATCTTAAAATACACATTTCTAAAACAAACTTTGATTAAGGTGAGAGTTATTTATTGCTAGATTTGTTTAAGAACGGGCATAGTTTGTCACTGTCGAAGCCTAATAAACAAAAATTTAGATCTAAGAGTGCATAATCAAGGTTGGATTTTCTCTGAGCTAACCTAAATTCCAGTTAACCTTTTTAATTGATGTAGAAGTTTGTTAGGAAGACTGCAAAGATACAATTAACTTGTCGGTTGAAGATATAAGATTGGCTGAAAACTTTAAGAAAATCTCGAGATTGTGAAAGGATGAGTCTTTAAGCTTAAAGTGAAATGTGTTCCTAAAAGTAAGTTAAAATCTTATTCTTAATTTTTTATTCAATGATAAATTAATTGAAAATAATTGATCATAACAAAAAAAAACTTTATTTTTGTTCATGTACACTACAGTTATACTATTAAAGTTATTTAAGTTTGATTACAATATTTCTGAAAAAAAATATATGTTCTCCTATAACGCTGAATGTATTGAGATCCTCCTGAAGTACAGAATATTTTCGTGTTCTCCTGAAGTACAGAATATTTTCGTGTTCTCCTGAAGTACAGAATATTTTCGTGTTCTCCTGAAGTACACAATATTTTCGTTTTCTCCTGAAGTATACAATATTTTCGTGTTCTCCTGAAACACAATAGATTCGTCTTCTCCTCAAGTACAGAATATTGTCGTGTTCTCCTGAAGTACAGAATATTTTCGTGGTCTCCTGAAGTACAGAATATTTTCGTGTTCTCCTGAAGTACACAATATTTTCATGTTCTCCTGAAACACATTATATATTCGTGTTCTCCTGATGTACAGAATATGTTCGTGTTCTCCTGAAGTACAGAATACTTTCGTGTTCTCCTGAAGTACAGAATATTTTCGTGTTCTCCTGAAGTACAGAATATTTTCGTGTTCTCCTGAAGTACAGAATATTTTCATGTTCTCCTGAAGTACCTAGAATATATTCGTCTTCTCCTGAAATAAAGAATATTTTCGTGTTCTCCTGAAGAATATAATCAGGTCTCTGGAATGTAGAATATATTTAGGTTCCTGAAATACAGAATATATTCAGGTTCTCCTTAAATACAGAATACAATCAGGAACTCCAGAAATACAGAATATAAACATGATCTCCTGAAATACAGAATACTAGATGTAGCGGAAGTGCCCGGCGTTGTCCGTTAAATTTCAGAAACAATTGAAAAATTTTGAATTTAAAAAAAAATCAAAATATGTACATAAATGAAAATATTTATTTTTAAAGCAATAATCAGATATTCAAATTCTCCTGGTCGCCAGTTCAAAATGCATCAATTCGAATTACAAAAATACATTATTCCACGAAACCTGATTTGTGTTAAGAATTTGAAAAAATCAATAAATATGTAAAGTTTATTGAAGACGACAAATATATGGGCATTCCTACTTTAGTAACACTACGCGGTATTATCTATTAAATTGCGCTAGCCGACAACTGGACAAAAAACTTGTTGCTACTAGTTCGCTAGATTTGTGACAAATTACTTGAATTTTTGGAGAATTAATTACTGAGATCGTAAGTTATTTAAAATTAGTATATTATAAAAAGATCTTTTTAGGCCTTATTTAAACCTATATAGTTCGTTAATGATTCTACAAATACTTTTTAAGTTAATCGATATTAAAAATCATGTCATCAAGAGACAATTCTTATGCGTCCGTCCTAGTATACAGTTTCAGACACCCCGGCCCCCCTCCTTTAATTTTTTTTCACCCATTTTCATAATTCATTCTTCACGAATTGAAATTATCTGATTCTAAGTAATTTGTTTTTTTGTGTGTTTTGGTGTGAAGTTGATGTTAAAATGTCTCTTTGACAATTATTTTAGGATGAATAACTTGATCATATTTTTGACCTTTAGTTAAACTGAAATTTCTAGATATTTAGCTCGACGCGACGTTTTCTAGATTTAAGTTTCACACAAAGTTCCAAAATTAATTACATTTTTTGGGTTTGAATAATTGATGTTTTCTTGTACTTTAGTCTATCAATTTTCTGTACGTTTTTCTTCTTTCTCCTTATTATTTTTTATAAATCTAGATTTAAAGTTCAAGAAAGAACACATTAAATCAAAATAACGACTTTATATAGATGGCATTTTGAAGTATTAACTAAAAACAGCAGGTTTTTAAAAAGCGGTTCACCTAAGATACATATATAGGGTGTCCCACAAAACTTGACAGTAGCAAAACTACTTTGAAGATCGTTATTGATAATCATAGAATTCCTCTAGTCTCGGCATTTCAAAAATATGGTCTGCCTTTTTTGCACTTCAAAATTTACCGAAGATATAAAGATTTTTGTTCAGATTTCGACAAATTTGGATTTATTTGATAAAAATTGTTATCGGAACCAAATTCTCAATTTCTCCGGTAATATTGATAGCACATAAAAGGCAGACCTCATTTTGGAAATCCCAAGCCTTGGAGAATTATCATGGAACCCCTTGACCGATTCGTCTGAAATTTTGATTGGGGAACTTTGGAGAACCAGGGAAATTGTTCTTAGCTTATTTTTAAAATTCTAAGTTGAGTGTGTTGACTTTTAAAGAGGAAAATCGGGCTAGTACACATACAATGTAGTAATCTCTGTTTGTCTTTCTGTTTGTTTGTCCGATCATAACTCAGGAACCCCTTGGAACCGATTAGCTAGCATCATATAATGTAGTAATCTCAGTTTGTTTGTATGTTCGATCATAACTTAGGAACCCCTTGACCGATTTGCCTTAAATTTTGATTGTTTTTAGCTTGGTTTTAATATATAAATCGAGTGGGTTGACTTGTAAGGGAGCATATCCAGGGAAAGTTCCTAGACTAATCTTTATAATAAAGCTCTTCGCTCATAAATATATTTGAATATACATATTTATATGTACACATGTATAGCTTATTTTTTTCAAAATTTTTTTTTTTTTAATTTCACGAGTAACTCAACTAGTACATATATAAAGTAGTTAGTTGTTTGGTTGTTTGTTTGTTTTTATGTCCGATCATATATTTGAATATATATATTTATATGTAAAGCCATAGCTATTTTTTTAAAATTCGATTTGCTAGCACAGTACAGTTAAAAGAGGAAAATTATTGAAAGTTATTAGTTGACTTAAATTAAATACGCATATAGTTCTTAAATGTATTTTCAAGGGGGTAAAGGCAAAAAAGTTATTTCCTCTTGAATGTCGTCTTCCTTTCAGGTCATCAAACAATAAATATTTACTAAGAAAATAAAAACTTTGCTTATGAATCGTTCAAATATATCACAATTTATAAGCCATTCACGGGAATGAAAAATTGGATATCAACGGGAAGGGCTTCTCCTCTTTTTGATACGGTTTACTGAAAAACTTTTTCCTTTATAAAAAGATGTTTTTTGGTATGTAACAGTTTTCATTGAATCCATGTATAAATAAGTTTATACTGTTATTTGTATGTAAGGAGAAAATGGTCAAACACGACTCATACAGAAGAGCGTAGCATCCAAACGCAACAGATAAGATTAGTAGCGATCACCATCGAATTCGATTCGACGTAAGCCTATACCCCCTTTCAATTTTCTTGAACACTCCCTTTAAATTTTCATTAGTTTTATTTGTTCTAAGATTAAATACTGCGAATACTCGTTCAATCAATAAAAAAACCTTAAAAGTGTGGGGTCCGTTCACACATTTCTAATTCATTAAGTGAAAATGGAAAACAAGTATTTTCCAATTAAATATAGTTCTGAATCCATGTGCAAAATTTGGTTGAGGTTGATGAAAAACGCGTAATTATAGGTTTAGAAGCTCAAACCAGTTGAAAACCGTGAATCCTAAATACTAGATTTAAATTATTCCTCAGTTTGAAACGTGTTTCTAAAGACAACTTTTTAGTGAAAAAATGACGTGATAATCAATCATTACTCATCATTACTCATTACTTGGTGTAAAAGGAGAATATCTTCCTTTAGATTTCCACATTTTCAAATGTCAACATTTTTTATATTTCTGAATTTTTTTCGGTAAATTATTCATGGGCCTGGATTACTTGGTTGCTGAAAAATGTCCTTATCTTTCATTAACAATGCCTTATTTATAGGTATTATTTTTGGCTGAAAACTGACAGATCATTCAGAGAGCAGAAAGGTTTCTCACATTTAAATATTAATTATCCTGATCTTAATCCAAATCATTTTGATGTGGATAAAAACCGGGATCCGCCCTGGAATAAATGTATCCGGGTCCAGGTCATGATCAATTCTTCTAGATTTAAAGAATTTGATGAAGAAATGAAAATATCATCACTTTTTCTATCTTTTTTTCGCTTATTGTTTTGGCTGAAACTTGATGAGCAATTCGTAGATAATGAGGTTTTTAATAATCTCTTAGTAGTTGACCATTAATTTTTGTAGTTTGTGAACAAAACATTATTTTTAACCAGTTTTTTTTATTGATATTTGCCACTTAAATTAATCCCATTTTATATCCGAATTTCCGAATCCAACAGATCCGGAACCTTAACACTGGTATCACCACTTCAGATTGCCTTGTGAGAGTATAATGTTTTGCACGGTTTTTAATTTTTTTTGCCTCGGTCCTGAACCTTATTTCTTGTAGTTTATTTTATTTCTTATATTTTTATTTTATTTATTTCTAGTAGTTTTATTTTATTTATTTCTATTTATTTGACCTTTGTATTTATTCTCTTTATTTCTATTTATTCTATTACAGTGAGACTTATAAGACTGTGGAGTATAAGGACGACATTTCAGCAGTCTTGTTTTCGACGTTGTTAAAAAGCAAATCAATACCAGTAATAGTAGCTTAAACATAAGCTTTTAAGTAAAATGTTCATTAGACTATTTCAAGTCATGACTTGAGTCAAACAGTCGTCTGTATATTTCCTTTTTCGTACCTTTCCATGTCTTGTATTTATTACTCCCTGCCTAGTATCTACTCCCTTCTCTATATTTTCCCGCCCCCTTTACTACAACGTTTATACGTTATACTCACTACTCCCTACTCACATCTCTTTCTCTGTACTCCCTCCATCCTATTTTCTTCAATAATCTTCTAAAACCTTTTGTATATTATGATATGTGTATCCTGTATACTGTATATTCCGTATATGAAGAGTAGGCCAGTGTATGGGCCGTTTTGATTCATGGTACAGTGGGGGGCCTGCTAGGAAACCCCGGGATATACGGCAGGGGTCACCTCGGCCCGAGGCCGGGGTGACTGAACCGGTCCGGGCCGTCGAGGCTGGTTTTTAGCGGAGGCTGTCCTGTATGGTAGTATACCACGGTGGTTCAGTGCGGTCACATAACCTCTCCACGCACAGCGGTATTACAGAGAACTTTCTCTTGTATTGTGTACAGTGAACAATCCCACTGTACAGTTTATAAAAAATATAAATACAAAACGATATTTATGGATTTATACATGTAGACTGTACAGAATTTATAGTGCATAATTTATAGTGAAGTTTTATCTTTTCTTGTTGAATTTATTTAATATGTGTAGAAATAACTTAAATTTATAATTAATATTTTTTATTTATGTACTAGTTACATTTTCTTGAACTTCTTACATACAATATTTTTTAATCAAACCATCTGTTTTCGATGCAAGGACATTTTTTACACAGTAAGTGTAGGTTAACATGTAAAGTTCTGTATTACATTTATGTACGTACAATGTGTGTACAATGTTCAATGTACATGTATTAATTAAGAAAGAATTCGTTCACAAAATTGTAGTCTTTAGACAAAGAAATTACTAATTTTCATAACGTCTTTTTTGATTGAATCAATTACATTACGGAGCGTAAAAAAAAAAAAATAATGAAGTTGTTTTTTCTCTTTTATAGAATATCATTTATTTTATTATTTGAAAGTTTTTAGAATCAAATTATTAGGAATCAAATTATTTTGAAAAATCAGAGGTATTTGAGAACTGGTTTGTTTTCTGAAAACTGGTGTGTAGTGTAGTTTAAGGGCTTGTTTGTTTTTTAAGAACTTGTTTGAATTTTAGGAAACTGGTTTGTATTTTGAGATCTGTTTTGTATTTTGAGAACTGGTTTGTATTTTGAGAACTGGTTTGTTTTGTTTATTTTACAAAAAGTGTTTCTAATATCTCTACATTGCGTCGCACAAAGAGAATACTAATCAGAGCCGGGGACACTCAAATTCAGAGTGGGGTCTTATACAATATATATATTATGTTATTGTACCTACTTATACTGTTTTATTATGATAATATCAACATTATTTTCAATGATTCTATTATTATTATTTTTCAATTTCTCCATATAAATTAAAATTTTGCTAATTTTTCAGTTAACCGGGATGGATTTCCAAATAAATAAAATAGATCTTTTTCATTTTATTTCGATTGGCCATAAAACTTCCCTGGGGGTCATGTTAGTTGCCACAAAAAAATCCGGATTCGATCGGTTTAGCCTTTATGTTATTTGCGAATTCGATCTGTTCCCTATTCTATCTATAATCATTTTGCTAATTTTTCCACATCTATGAATATCGCTATTCCGTGTTTTAATTTTAAGAAGTTTCTTTAAAACTGCTTTTGAATATGAAGTCGCATTGAAACATGTTTTATAATAAAAAAATCATTACTCTGTTGAAAGGTATGATTGAAAAGATTTCTAAAATGTAAAGTTTTCTTGAAACTACCAGGAATTTGATCTGAATCTTTTCAGTTTTTCAAAGTACCCTTTGCATAAACAAAATTTATGATGGAAGATTAAAGGAAACTTTGTTGAAATAACGCTTTGAATTTCTCAAGTTTTCAACGTGAAGTTCATGGGGGGGGGGGAGGGGGGTAAGGCATGACTTAATCTATGTTTAGTTTAAACATGTTTGTCTCAAAAACGCCGCAACAAGTGAACCGAACTTCGAATTCGGTGTTTAAAAATGTTTATTTTTTTTTCTCGAATTTCCCATAATTTTTTTTGATGAGATACCTAGGCTATAGAGAACGAAAATTTATTTCAAGAGAGGCTCGAAGCGCCCCCAATTATTAGTAAAATATACAATACCTATTTTGTTGTGTAAGCACCAGATAAAACCATATTCTTTGCCAAATGTAAAGTGTAGGAAATATTCCAACAATATTATTATTATGATATATTCAATACTAAATATCTATATTTGCCAATAATGCAACTAAATAAAGAACGCTGGTATTTTCACATTTTTTCTTTCCTTCTACCTTGAAACAAATGTCTTCTGTGTGCACCCTTTTACTCTAGAAATGTCACTAAGGATTTTGAAAATGTTCTGAGGTCTTGAACGCATGATCTCGATATCTAATGTGGGCACTTTTAAATTTGAGGCTGACTGCCTAATCCCTAGATTGACATTGAATGTATATATACAAGTTTTTGGTTTATCATGATGTAAGCAATAGATAAATATTTTATATCATTTTTAGATCTTGTAAATCTATTTAATATTTATAGATTAGGGCATCTGAATATATAGGTGTGGGCATTTTTCTGTTTATTTCTACATACAGTCAGTCAAACTGGTATATGTATTCAGTATTTTAACGTACGTCCTGTCAAACTGTAATTTCATTGAATGACCGGTTGTTTTTTAATAATAATGACAATAATAGTAATAACTATTTAATATAAACTTCTAAATGTGTTTCAGATGCCAAAATACAAAAATGAATGATAAAAGTGAGGAAGGTGACCCCAGTGACCCGAGGGTCATAGAGGTCAAACGTCCCAACGAGGTCAAGCTGGCTGAGGTCAAGAAACCCCAAGAGGTGGTCAGTATGGCTTTAAAGGACAGCCTCAAGTTTGGAATTTTAATAGGTAATATTTAAAAAAAAGAAAGAAGGTCCACTTTGTAATAATTATTTAATTTTAACAATTCTCTGTTGTGGCTTCTGTGGCAATGCCATTTTATTCTCATCAATCATTGCGATATTATTGATTTTTATAATATTTTTGCTGAATATTGCAAAGCTGTTAGTTCTGAAAAATAATTTGAATAGTTAGGTGTGTTTAAATTCTATATCATTAATTGGTTGAATAGTTGCTAATGAGTTGATATTGTTGATTAAGTAATTAAATAATTAAATTTAGGAATGTTGGATTTGAAAACTGTGAAGAACAAAGAAATAGTGGATGCTGTTCTACATTTGGTAAATAAATATTTATATATAATATATATACTTTGCTTGTCTTTTTGTCTGTCTGTGCGTTTGTATCCAATAGGGTAGTGTTTTTACAGATACACCATCCAATAAACGTCAAAATGGGTGAACCTATCAGGCCCAAATTTCGTGTCCAAAAGTTTTTGAATAATGTAAAATTTTGAAAAAGCGTGAAAAAATATTATTAATTCCCAAACATTATTTATTATTGTTGTTTTCGAAGAGAAAATGCTGAAATATTGAGCAACAATTAGAAGTTGAATTAGAAGATGGGTGCAGCTAGTATTTATAATCTTTTCAACTTGCCCTAATAACCCCCCCCCGCCCCCGTCTTATTTTTTACGATTTTTTGATAGTTGCTTCATGTTGAGTTTGTTCGGTTGAAATCTGCAATGGATACTGTTTATGGTGTATGAGGGGATACTATTCAATTTTATCGTTTTATAGTATAAGTTGGTTTAGTTATGGCCAATATGTTGAAGATATTATTCTGAGTTTGACTTTACGACTCTTTCCTCAAACTTATGAAATTATAGAAATCCGGAAGATTTTTTAAAGTTTATATGTTACCAAAATATGATAACACTATCTATCTTATTATTCATATATTTTTCTATCTTTCTGTCTTTCCATCTTCAATCTACATATCTTTCTACATGTAATCTACACTTTCTCTTTCTATCTTTGTATAACCTATTCTTCTATCTATCTTTCTAAAATCTATCCATCTAAATTTCTCTAAATTGCTATCCATATATCTCTATTAATCCTATATTTTGTTTTCTTAATCAACCTATATAAAAGTAAATGATTTTTATTAATCCAATTCTCTGCGTCTAGTTGGTTGGAGGGGAGTTTGATATGGAGTTGAACTTCATCATTGAGGACCCAGAGAATATCAGGAACCTCATGGAGCTCATCGATCATTGCCAGCAGGATCTACAGGTACGTCAGGGAGTCCTTTGTCTTCCTGAATATCAGGGAGTCTTTTGTCTTCCTGAATATCGGGGAGTCCTTTGTCTTCCTGAATATCAGGTGGTCCTTTGTAATCCTGTACATTATGAAGTCCTTTGTAATCCTGTACATCAGGGAGTCCTTTGTAATCCTGAACATCAGGGAGTCCTTTGTAATCCTGTACATCAGGGAGTCCTTTGTCATCCTGTACATCAGGGAGTCCTTTGCAATCCTGAACATAAGGGAGTCCTTTGCAATCCTGAACATCAGGGAGTCCTTTGTCATCCTGTACATCAGGGAGTTCTTTGCAATCCTGAACATCAGGGAGTCCTTTGTCACCCTGTACATTAGTGAGTCTTTTGTCATCATGTACATCAGGAAGTCCTTCATCCTGTAAATATTCTAATTCGCAAATTCTTAAGTCCTAGTCACATCTCGTGAAATAATTATCACCTTTCTATATAATCATATATGGATGGAATTTTGAAGTTTTCTTTGAAAAATACAGTTTGGGAAATGGTTTGTATTACATTTGAAAATCTCAGTTAGAAATTGCAGTTTTCTAAATTGTCAATCTGACAATTTTCTTTCCTTTTTTCTCTGAAAGATGTCAATTAGGTTTCTAGTTGGATTCTGAAAATGTCAGAAATGTCTGATAACTAAACACTCAGAAACAGCTGTAATACTATTTCAGTTTTTAAGGGGTAATTTTAGTTCTTTGTATCTCTCATTTCCCCCAAAATTTTATTGCCCTTTTTGTCCTACTCTTTTTACATTTTATTCTTTATATAGTTATATGATATCAGATGTAAATATTCTTAATTTTCTTCTTTTTTCGTACATCTTTCAATCATATTTTGGCTAATTTTGAAATAAAAAGATGTTTTAGATATCCTTGCAGTTTTGCCATGCTGCCAACTTTAGAACTAAGTTAAGGTGTCTCCTTTATTATATCTACAGTACACAGATTAAATTCAACTTGTTGATTCAGCTCCAAGCAAACACATATTTCTAATGTATTTTCTGTCAGGCTGAAGTAAATGGATGGTATGAGAACGTCTCCTAGCCCCATCTCTAACTCTAATGTTTGTCTCCCTTTGCTAACAGAAAAAATAGATAGTGTAGAGCTTATCATCAGAGATTTCCCTTCCAATATTTCCCGTTTAATTTTCTTTTTTCTTGTTCCTTGTTTATACGGTTTGAGCCCTCTCCAAATAGTTCTTGTGACATTTAGTTTTGGAACAGGTAGGAGTGAGATAAGAAGGTTTGGAGGAGGAGGATTAGGGTGGGGGTATAAGGGTGACAGGTATGAGATATACCATAATCCTCACTGTTAACGTGTATAAGAAAATTATCCTGCTAGCTAAGAAGCTGTCCCATCCCAAAACACGGGGATAGTGTCTTTCGCCTATCCTTGTCAGAGCTCTGCCATGAGTAATCCAGTCAGTTTCCATTGTGAGGAGGGTATAAAACTAGTTTGTGGTATTTGATTTAAAGTCTATTGAAGGCTCTGTTCCCCCTTAAGCCGGTATCAGCGTGTACTTCATCTCTGATTTTTGAGTTTCTGTATTCCTTCTTTCATCTTTAGTCCTATATCTTGTCTGGGATTAGTCAAGCTTTCCACTCAGCGTAAGACTACACACCTTGGGTATCTGCTCAGATAAAAAATGTCCCCCTAGTTCAGTAGGATCAAACTTGTATACGAAGTAGACACGAAAGACCTTTAGGTCTGCAGTATATCAGTATCTGTAAAAAGGCTAGAGATATGACATGGTAAAGAAAGATAGACAAGGACATGTCCAAGATCACAAAGTATCAGACATATATAGTGGTGCCATCCTTGAGGATTCTAGAGGAGATCGGGAGACAAAGTGCAGCCATGAGCAGATATAGGTTGTGTGAGTGGGGTGGCGCAGTTCTGGTGAGAAGTAGTCTTGATATCTAGTCTACTACAGCGAGTACAACGCACATAGCGCCCTTTCTCTTAACAGGCTTAGAAAGCTCTGCTGACACCCTTCCTCTGGGAAGTTCTGATACACACTACTTTGTGCTTCTCAAATTTCAATGAAAACATCACAATTAAAGAAAATGTAATTAATTGCCTGCTAAAATACATTATTTGGCCATAGAAACATTTCAGTGACGGAAAGTACCGATCCTAATGTCACCAAAAGCCGTCATTTAATAAAATAATGATAAAATTGTGTTCTAGGCTGAGCTGTTTTCTGTGTTCATTGCTATTCTGAAGAAATCTAATCGAAATCTTCAGGAAATTATTATTCAAGATTATTAAAATAATATAAGTAATCATAAGGAAGTGAAATCTGCAAGAGGTCCCAATGTGAACTCCCCCAGACCGCCCAGGCAGCAGGGTGCACTTCCCCTCCCCTGTTCTAACTAGACCCTTAAATCCCCATCATTTAGTCCAAAGCTAGAGAGATAGTATTTGTAAATTGATTATTTCAGCCCATTGATTTACGATAGTAATCGTTGTTATCAAAAAGAAGTGTTATCATTATAAGTTTAATAGATTGTCAATAAAAAGCTTTCAAGAGTGTGTTCGCGAAAAATATCAGGGGTTGCCTAATCCTTATCCAAAGTTGGCTAATTTTAGAGGCTAGACAGCAGTAAAACTATTAGAGATCAAATCCAAATTGCAGAAACAATCCCGTTAAAAACTTCGTTTTTTGTTAATTTATTTTTGGTTATAACGATTAAAGCAATTCGTATTCTTAAATTTTGAAATAATTAGTTTTTTATTAAAATTTCATTTAAGTCGTGCACTTAAAAAAAATTCTCGAGTTAACTAGAATTTTCCCGGGTTTGATATTGTTTTTTTATACTTTGCTAGCCGGGAAAAAATTATTTTAAAATAAAAAAAATTTCAAATGTTTTTAGCCGATGACAACCCCCGGCCCGGCGGCCACCCATGACTGTCCACAAAAAATTTCAACCCAATCGCTCCAGCCGGTTTGGCCGGCTATATGCAACATATATATATACGAATGTTTTGTTTTATTTCAAAGAATTTTATTATTTCATTTTTTCCCTTATTTTTTTTTTCTTCAAAACTATCATTATTAATGTTATTTCCGACTAATATCAAGATTTTTCTTTCCCGTGAATTATTTTTACTTAACTAAAATAGTGTGTTAAAATCATTTAAATAATAATTGAATTTTCCACACTTGTTAATTTTTATATTTTTGTTGAACTTTTGTCTTTTCTTTAGAAAAGGGAAAGAAAATGCATTTAAAAGAAATAACTGAATTCTTTTAAAGGTTCCTTTGATCTGTTGAAAGTTTCTCCTAAACTAAAAATGTTCATCAGAAAATTTAGATTATTGAGAATGAGAATAGATAATAATGAACTCTGATGCATTTTGGGTAGTAACGCTCCAATCTTTTTATACAGATTTTTTTTGTGTTTTATAGCTTTTGTACTCAATGACCCCATTATCGGCCATTTTTAAGCTAATTTTTAATTTCCCTTTCCCTCAAATTACTTCCGAGAATCACATCATTTTCTAACTTACCCTGACTTTCATCAGAAAATCTAATATTTATATTTTTTGTCGTTAAAATTATTTCATGTTAATATTCTTTGAATAAATAACTTAAGCTACTCAGACATATTTTGTGTAATGCGCTTGTAAACTTCGAACTAAGATCGCGATTTTACTTATTGCGATTTTTTTAAATTTTCTTAAATAATTCTTTATTTTAAAAATTTTGTTCAGCTTTTTTACACATCATAATTTACATCTTGATATTTAATTGATTTAACAACTGAATGCTGTTCGCTTCAAAGAATTAGATAAAAATATATTTATTAAAACCATCAGTAAAATGGGGAAGAACAAAACGTATTACTCTCCGGAAAATTTTAACAATGTTAAAACATAACTTAGAAAAATAATCAGCGTTTTACGACAATTCTAAGTTATGTTTAAACACTGTTTAGGTTTTCTGGAGAGTAAAATGTTTTGTCCCCCCCCCCCTTCATTATAATACAAACCATTAAGTATTTCATTCGTCCAAAAAAAATTTAAAGTTCCAATTTTAAAATTAGGACAGAAATATTGTTTAATCCAATTAATATTGATTTTCTTGGATTAAATCAAATTGGTTAACTTCAAGATCGGAGAACTTCTGCATGTTTTGCAAGATGGTTAAAAAAACACGACAGGGTTGATTTTTCCAAAAATATTTTTAGATATTTAGAATATTTTTATAAAAAAATTATATTTCTCAATAAATTTTTCTTCTGAAAAACTAATTGTTTTTAACTTAGACATTTGTTTAAAATAACTTGGCTTCAACTATTCAAGATATATTTGATAAAACAGAAAACGTTTGTTTAAAAAATGTCTCATTGTTCTAAGAATAATTGTTGGACAGGCGTGTACTGATATATCCTTAATAGAACTACTGCTTCAGAGACTACCAGACGTAGAACAGGTGGGAGTACAGTACAGTACAGTACTGTACAGTACGGCACGGTACGGTGCGGTACGGTACGGTACAGTACGAAACTTTATATCAATATTTTTCACATGCAAATTCCAAGTTCATTCTAGAACTACTGGGTGTAGCAGCAAGCTATATTCTACATATTCAGATTTTAGCAGATCTAATAGTAGAACTATTGGGTGTAGTAGCAAGCTATATTCTATATATTTAGATTGTAGTAGATCTAATAGTAGAACTATTGGGTGTAGCAGCAAGCTATATTCTACATATTCAGATTGTAGCAGATCTAATAGTAGAACTACTGGGTGTAGTAGCAAGCTACTCTATCACTGTAAGGGAGCTGAAGATCCTCTTTTCCTCGATGAAGGCCAGTAACATGATGTGGCCGAGGCACTCCACCAAGCTGCTTACAGTTCTCAGACAAATGCCAAATAGGTGATTAAAGTTATATGGTTAATGTGTTTGTTTATTTGTTCACTGATCAAATTTTTTAAAATTGAATGATAAAAAATCGATTTTCAAAACAAAATTTGATTCTTGAAAATTTTTTTTTTTTTTCCCCTTCCCAAGGATTTCCTTAAAAATAATTCATCCCTTTCATACCAGCTGTTTAGTCAGCGATAGTGAACATATAATTATAATATATCTATCTATATAATAAAGCTCTTCGCTCATATATATATTCGTATGTATGTTTGTGGGAAAAATGGGGTTTCTGTGTGGTTTCTTAGTTTTGTTGTTTGACTGTTTGATTCATTTAATTGATTTAATTGATTTAATTGATTAATGGTTGATTGGTTGGTTTTATTGAATAATTCATGAATTAAATAATGAAGTGATTGATGAAATCATTGACTGGCCGAGTTATTGATTGATTGATTAATTGCTTGATTGCATAGATTAATTGATAAATTGATAAACTGATTGGTTGATTATTGATTAAATGATTAATTTATCAATTGACTAATTGCTAAATTGATTTATTGATTAATTTATCAATCGATTAATTGATTGATTGATTTATTCAGGTCTGGTCCCGACGTGTTCTTCAGTTTCCCCGGCAAGGCTGGGAGTGCGATCATGATTCCTCCACTAGCCAGGTTTCCACAGGTAGATAATACGGTACCATTGACCGTTGACCACGTTGACTTTGACTGTTGACCTTTAAGCGTTGTCAGTTGACCGATGACTTATGAATTTTGACCTTTGACTGTTGACCTTTAAGCGTTGTCCGATGACCGGTAACCGCTGACCGGTGACCGTTAACTTTTGACCGGTGACCGTTGTTTAATTAGGAAGAACACTTTTCTGAAAAGATAATATTTCAAGTCGCAGAAAACTCAAAATAAAAGGGACTGTTCACTGTAGTCGTATTTTTAACGGAACCCTATTTTAAACGGTGTCCTTGAAACCATAATCTGATTAAAAGTGAAGAAGATATCTTCGTTTTTCTGACTTGAAATTTCTAAAAATCTAATAATTTCTCCATTGCTTCTGAAGCAAAATGCGCGTCACTGTCGAAGAGAAGAGATGACCATTTTTCAAGAAAAAAAGCATTGATATCAAATTTATTCTTGACCAGATAAAGTTTTGAAGGCTACCTTTGTGAATAAGACACACCTCAATTAAAGGAGGGTATCTTTAAGGGCGGGTTATACAAAAATGAAATCAAATGTATTTTAGTTCTGGGTTTACTTTTCTATTTATTTATTTCAGGAAAATGGGTTTACCTTTTCAACCTGGTTCCGATTAGATCCTTACAATTCAGTCAATATAGAGAAGGAGAAACCTTATCTGTACAGGTATTATACAGTACAGTACAGTATAGTACAGTACAGTACAATTCAGTAAATATAGAGAAGGAGAAATAAGTACAGGTATTATACAGTACAGTACAGTACATTTCAGTCAATATAGAGAAGGAGAAACCTTATCTGTACAGGTGTTATACAGTTCATAAAGTCACAGTACTATAACTGTATTTCATTTTATATGTACTGATTAGCGTGAACATAAAAAGGTATACATACACTACAGAACAGTATTCATAAGTGAATTGTGAAAATAAAGTACAGTACATATAAAATGAATACAATAAGGTACACGGAAGATCCGTACAGTACATGAGAATTTGGTTGACAGTTTCAAAGAAAGTTAAGAATGAAGTAAAAAAGCGACATATGTTTTGTTATCTTCGTCATTTTGTTAATTATAAACGAATTACACATTTCCCATCATGATTTAATTATCTTAGTGCTACTTCCATTATATTACATTTATGTATTGTGTTTTCAACATGGAAAATGTCTTTATTCACACATTTTTTATCTGTGAACTGGATGGATCCACTTTTTCGAAATTCATGGCATGGCCAAAATTCAAAAAAAAAATTTCTAGTAAATCTTTACTAAGTGGAACTTTTCCATTTTTTCAGATCATGAGGAACAACATATTGCAAATAAAGCTGATTTTTGCAACAAAAAAAAAGTTATTTTTAATAAAGTAACGAAATTGTTTAAAATTAATTTGTTAATGCGACCCCCCCCCCCTCCCCCTGAACACTTACATTTATTGAATTTCGCATTTAGAATTTCAACTTTGATAATATTTGAAAATTCAATTCAATTGGATAATGTGATTGAAGACAGCGATCTCTTATCACTGAATTAGGGAATTGGAAAAATATGACTTCTCGTAAATATAGCCTAAATTACTTTTTTTCATTTAAAGATCAAACCCAACAATAAATTAATCTAAAACTTGTATTTTCACTATTTGCAATTTGTATTTTACACCCCCCCCCCCCTTCTTCTTTCCAAATTTCAACTTTTTTATTGTAAAATCTCAAAATTAGAAATTTAGCTAAATAAAAGAATTATATTTCGGAAGGGCAAAAACTCTTCAAAATTATATTATATTGTCGAATTCATTTTTGCAATTTTCCCCCCTCTTGATTCTTAACATTTAATTGGAATTTTGAATCAATGATTGAGTATAAAAGAGCTGAAAGGTTTATTTTATAAGTTTTCTTTTGTGTTTTCAAGGATGACTTGATCAAGGATGATTATATAACTTTTTTCTCTCAATTAGAGATACAGTTACTTGCCATCACAATTATTATCAAATTCATTTATAAAATAAAGATACAAATTCTGTCAATTTTCCATGGGTATATATTTTGAAATACCCCCCCCCCCTCGAAGATTTGGGTAAAAGATGAACTATTGGATATTTTCCCCCCTATTTGACATTTTTTACCCAAAAGTTCAATCATTTTCCCTTTATTATTATTATTATGCTTTTTTGCTTTATTCTTTAGTTTTATAAAAATATTTTAAAGTGTGTAAGAATCACATTAAGATAGGAAATGCTGCATCCTATAAATACTCAATTCTTCTGCAAAAGTTCCCTTTTTTGCTGGTCAATTATGTCTCAATGCGAAGCGATTTTAAACATTTTTACAATTTGAGTTAATTTGAGAAAAATACAAAAATTGAGGCCAATTTGCTTTTTAACAAATTGGCCAATTTCTCAATTGAGAAAGGATTTTTGACAAGAAGAGCTTTTAACCAGGCTCATTCTAAAAGATACTGTTGATGTAATATAAAGAAAGCGACCATTCATTTCAAAAGGAGGATGTTTGTTCAACCACGTTTCCCTCTAAACCTTTATAATCAATTTTCGAAGAGAAAAACTTGGAGATCATATTCATTTGTTATCAGACAAATGGTACCGTTGTTGATATGACCTTCCTCTCTTTAAAGGGAGAGTATCTCGAAATACGTGTACAGTCCCTTTAATAATTTAATTATTTGTCTGTTCAGCTTCAAGACGAGTAAAGGAGTTGGATACTCAGCACATTTTGTTGGAAACTGCCTTGTGCTCACTTGTATGAAGGTAATATAATTATCTATTTTCTTTCTTTTTATCCATTTTCTTTCTTTTTATCCGTTTTCTTTCTGTTTATCCATTTTCTTTCTTTTTATCCGTTTTACTTCCTTTTTTCTTTCTTTTTATCCATTTTCTTTTTTTTTTATCCGTTTTACTTCCTTTTTTCTTTCTTTTTATCCATTTTCTTTCTTTTTATCCGTTTTATTTCTTATTTTCTTTCTTTTTATCAATTTCTTTCTTTTATCCTTTTTCTTTCTTTTTATCCGTTTTACTTCCTATTTCTTTCTTTTTATCCATTTCTTTCTTTTTATCCATTTTCTTTCTTTTTATCCATTTCTTTCTTTCTTATCCATTTTCTTTCTTTTTATCCATTTCTTTCTTTTAATCCATTTTCTTTATTTTTATCCATTTTCTTTCTTTTTATCCATTTCTTCCTTTTTATCCATTTTCTTTCTTCTTATCCATTTCTTTCTTTTTTATCCGTTTTCTTTCTTATTATCCATTTCTTTCTTTTAATCCATTTTCTTTATTTTTATCCATTTTCTTTCTTTTTATCCATAGCCTCCCCCCTGACTACGCCTCTGATTTGATGTTGTTAGAAAGCAAATCTTTTTTCTTTACTAGTAAATTTTCTAATCCACTTACTGAGTAAAATGGGTCTGTTTGCACAAGTGTACAAGTGCTTTGTTTTATGTTCATTGAACTATTTAAATTCATATTTTGAATCTTAAAGTCGTCTTCTCACTGTATATTTCTATATTTAGATCAAAGGGAAAGGATTCCAGCATTGTGTTAAGTATGAGTTCCAGCCTAGACGATGGTATATGCTCGCAATAGTTTATATTTATAACAGATGGACTAAATCTGAGATAAAGGTATTCAGGGGTATATATATTCTTGAAAAATCATCCCCCCCCTCGCCTTAGGGGTTGAGCTTGAGAATTAATTTATGGTTTAATTTGCTGAAAATGAAAAAGTGTGAAAAACTTGACGTTTAATGTAAAGTTTTTAATTTTTTCCTCAGAGCATCTTAAATCAGTTCCCTGCTTCGAACGGGAAAGGGGGGGGGTTAACACTTGAAAATGCATACCCCTGTCTTTTATGACACAAGAAGTCCACAATCGTCTCGTTTCATGTTGATTGATACATTTTTAGCCATGCTAATCTTTAGATAAATCTTATAATACATTTTTTTTTCGTTCATTTCAAAAAATGTTTTATTTTAATAATATCACCAATAAACCTTTTGAGTCATGTGAGGTCCTAAAAAAATTTGAATTTGTGATATTTTTGATATTTGATTTCGATCTTCTAATTTTTGTCCAAATCTATTATTTTGTGTGTGCAGGTGTTTGTAAATGGTCAGCTTGCCAGCAGTACCGAGATGGCCTGGTTGGTCGCTCCCACGGAGCCCTTCGACAAGTGCTTCATCGGGTCCACGGCAGACCTCGATAAGGTAAACAAGGACAGTGGTAGGACATGCCAGGACAGGAAAGGAAGAGACAGGGCAGGACAGGACAGGATAGGACAGAATAGGACTGAATAGGACAGAATAGGACAGAATAGGACAGAATAGGACAGAATAGGACAGAATAGGACAGAATAGAACAGAATAGGACAGAATTGGATAGGACAAGATAGGACAGGACAGGACAGGACAGGACAGGATAGGTCGGAATAGGACAGGAATGGACAGGACAAGTCAGGTTAGGACGGAACAGTACAGGCCAGGTTAGGACGGAACAGGACAGGCCAAGCCAGGACAGGACAGGTCAAGCCAGGACAGGACAGGCCTGGTTAGGACGGAACAGGACAGGCCAATCCAGGACAGGACAGGACAAAATGTTGCTATTGTCCGAATTCTGGAGATAAAAGTTAAGATAAGCCTTAAAGTTAAAATTAAGAATGATTTTATAAGTTTTAGCTCAAAGATCAATAATTGTCAAAATTTTATTCCTACTTTTTCATCAACTTGTCTGGTTTTTCATCAACTTATCTTGTTTTTCATGAACTTGTCTGGTTTTTCATGAACTTATCTGGTTTTTCATGAACTTATCTGGTTTTTCATGAACTTATCTGGTTTTTCATGAACTTGTCTGGTTTTTCATGAACTTATCTGGTTTTTCATGAACTTGTCTGGTTTTTCATGAATTTATCTGGTTTTTCATGATATTTATATTTTTATCAGGATCGTGTATTCTGCGGACAAATGGCAGCTATCTATCTATTTAGTGAAGCGCTAACCCCTCATCAGGAAATGACCAATATCGACTTTTATCCCTTATTATACAATCTTCAATCTTCATCAATCCCCCCTTACAACTCAACTTTACACACACAATTCTTCCACAAAATACCTTAACAAGCATAAAAACTTGTTTAATATCAAGTTTTTGAAAAACTGATTTTTTTTTTATTTCTAAAATGATATAGACAATATTTTAAACATTCTTGTTTTGTTTTACACTTGTTGACAATGGTTGTCCTGGTTAGGTTTGCGCTATGCACCGACTAGGTCCTGCATACAAGAACGCCTTCAAGTTTGAGAATGAGGCGGGGCAATCCCTCAGTGAGAATCATAAAAAGGTGGGACAGGAATCCAAGCTCTTTCTGTCTTTTTGCTTTTTAACGAAACATAGGTTTTCGTCCTCGTTGCAATCCTTTTTCCTATTCAATCATAAATTTATTTTTCTTTGGTTTTTGTCTACCTACCTACCTACCTACCTACCACCTACCTACCTACCTACCTACCTACCTACCTACCTACCTACCTACCTACCTAGGTATTGTATGACACGAAGCTCTCCTCCTGTATTGCATTCTTGTTTAACCCTGTGTCTGTGGACTCCACCCTCTGCCTCCAATGCGCACCAAAAGGAACAAAATTCAGAAATAATAAAAATTATCTTATATTCCACCCTTCTCCTTAGACATTGTTTTATGCTTTTCGCATTTGTATAACATTTAAATATTCATAGATTTTGAGATTATTAACGACGATTTATCTAGAACAATCCTATTCACTTCCTCCCTTTAGTAAAGAACCAACATATTCACTATTTATAATTGTGGTTTATCTTTCAAAGTTATTTGCGGATTTATGCTACAAAGTCTAAAAAGTTGTCGGATCTTAACACGGGATAGAAACTCGACTCTTTCACGTTATCCTGATAGATATGTATTTAAAGGGTACTATCGCGCATCTGACAAGCCACTCTTGAAATGGAGCGTCACTAAGAAATAATTCTACACTCCCTTTAATATGTTCTCATTTTGTTGGAATTTGATTTATTATTATATACTTGTTTTGGTAAACATTTCCTCCTCTAGGATCATATATTATTTACAATATTATATTTATATGTTACTAAAATATAAAAATCCATAAAATCAAGCTAAATTTGTTTAAAGTATATTTTCAATTCTAAAATAAAACAATATTATGATACAGCAAGGGTGTATATTTTCTAGAACATTTTTTTCGTTTTTTTTATATGAATTTTGGGTACGATGTCCTATGTTTCATTTCTCCCTTAATCGCCAAAAACCATCCTCCCCGCCACCCCAACCCCCTCCGGGGTACCTCTTGAAAATATACATCCCTGTTATAAGATCATAGTTGATAAAATTTTTATATAGAAATACAAAAAAAAAAATAAAAAAACTTGAATTTGAATTCTGCATTAAAGGAAATACTGCATACTTTGTACATTCTCCGCATGCTCTGATGCTACAGGTAAAGCTTACTTTTTTATGTAAAATTTGTTATTTTTGTTTACTTGTTTACTTGTCTATTTGTTTACTTGTTTACTAGTTTACTTGTTTACTTGTCTACTTGTCTACTTGTCTACTTGTCTCCTTGTTTACTTGTTTACTTGTTTACTTGTTTACTTGTTTACTTGTTTACTTGTTTACTTGTTTACTTATTTACTTATTTACTTGCTTACTTGTTTACTTGTTTACTTGTTTACTTGTTTACTTGTTTACTTTTTTACTTGTTTACTTGTTTACTTGTTTACTTGTTTACTTGTTTACTTGTTTACTTGTTTACTTGTTTACTTGTTTATTTACTTTGTCAAGACTCCTCTTGTCTTTGTTTCCACAGCCGACGAAATTTCCAAATTCCTCTGACTGGTTTTTCTAAATTTTTTTTCTATTTCTAAGCTTGACGTCTAGATTTTTCAAATTTTTTCAAATGAACGTTTCCCAAAAAAGTTTTCCTTGAGGCCGTGGATGTAAACTGAAGAATTTGAAAATTGCACATTTGAAATTTAGTATAATAGAAAACCTTTTTTAATGAGAAACCTCAAATTAATTTTTAAATATAAAAAAAAAGATTTGACCAACTTTTGATTAGGACGTTACAGCAGTTGTTACAAGATCAGTTCATTCTACTCTCAACTCAATAGGAGGAATTCAGGTCGGAGAAATTTATTAAAAACGCCAATATTTTCCTGAAAAAATATTCATTTTTTTCAGTGAAAATAGGGTTGTTCTTTAGGGTTTTATTGGCGGAAATGGAGAAAACTATTATTTTTCTTGGGAAAAAAATAAATTATTGGGTAAAAAGTATGAAAAATCTGCCTTTTCATGTCTAATTTTCATTTTTATCCCCAAATGTGTCATAAAGGTAAAGTTGATTTCCAACTTAGTGAGGGGCTGGGGTGGTGGTGGTGGGGGATATTGCAAAACCGGTTTTCATTTGTTTTCATTTTATCTAATTTCCCTGGTGACTTGTTTCGTTTAACTATAATCAGAAAACCTTCTCACTACTGCTTGGGACCCATTTCGTTCCACTTTAGTCCAGGTAGGGGTCCTGTATCCGGGTAGGGGTCCTGTATCCGGGTAGGGATCCTGTATCCGGGTAGGGATCCTGTATCCGGGTAGGGATCCTGTATCCGGGTAGGGGTCCTGTATCCGGGTAGGGATCCTGTATCCGGATAGGGATCCTGTATCCGGGTAGGGATCCTGTAACTGAGCCGTTATTCGTGTTTCTCGATTGCGGAAATGCCTGCAAATTTTCAAGGAAACATTGGATAGAAATAAAACCCCTTTAATTTTTTCGCCCAGTAACTTTTTACAGTGTACATTGTATGTACTATGTATTACATTCCTTAATTTATTTTGTATCATGTTGTGCATCCATGTTTAACTTAATTAAGTCTTAATTAATGAAATTACGCTTTATTTGATAAAAACACTTCTCTGTAAATTAAATTAAAGTTTAATTTTATATTTTGCTTCAGGTTCTATTCCCGCTCTTCTCCCAGCTGGACTATCCAGGTAAAAGAGACTGTTCTCTAATCTAATATTTACCGACATTTTTTGCTGGAAAATCTTGTTTTTCAGTTTTCAATTTTAAATCTTTAGGAGAAAAAACTATGTATTTTTGACCCTTTTTTATTCCTGTAAATTTTCCTTTTTTTACTCTCTAAAAAGGAGTGCCCCTGCTCCTTTAAGAAATTAGGGGGAAGGGTACCTCCTGCCCTCCTGCTAGTCAAGCACCTCTGCTCGGTTGAAGCATTGTTTTGATCCATGTTGAAAGTTAATTCTCTATTTTTACGAGCAACAATAAAATAGAAAGTGCACACAATTTTTACAAAATATTTTTTAATGTTTATTGATTTGAAAAGGCGATTTTTGGCGCAATTCTTAGACATTATTTAAGTATTTCTGAAATGTAAATGCATTAAATCATGTCGAAAGAAACCTTAATTACCTAATTTAAGTTTTTTAAAGTATTATAAATATTCTAATTTTCTAACTTCTAATGTTCATTAAGTTGTTCTTTAAATTGTATTTTAATTGTATTTTTAGCTTCTAATTTTAACACTTCAAAATCCATTTTTTTAATATTTTTTTTCTTTTTTCGTCTTATCATTTTCAAATCTTTTATTTTTGCTAGTTGATACAAAATTAAAAGCTATTCCTGTTGTTTTTTCCTAAAAGCTTTTTGTAAAAATAAATATTTTTTAGTTCTTGGTTGTGATCCATGTGCAGTAAGGCGTGACCCTGGCATGTGCTCCAGTCTTATGCAGTTCATTTGTGAGCTCATAGAGGTCTCTACTAGCATTCAGCAGCAGGTATACTTCATTTGTGAACTCATAAAGGTCTTTACTAGTAATCAGCAGCAGGTATAGTTCATTTGTGAGCTCATAGAGGTCTCTACTAGCATTCAGCAGCAGGTATACTTCATTTGTGAGCTCATAGAGGTCTCTACTAGCATTTAGAAGCAGGTATACTTCATTTGTGAGCTCATAGAGGTCTCTAATAGCATTCAGAAGCAGGTATACTTCATTTGTGAGCTTATAGAGGTCTCTACCAGCATTCAGCAGCGGGAATACTTCATTTGTGAGCTCAAAGAGGTCTCGGCGGGTATTTAAAAGTAGGTATTCTTCCTTTGTGAGCTTATAGAGGTCTCTTCTATTACTCAGCAGCAGGTATGCTTCATTTGTGAGCTTATAGATGTCTGTACTAATATTTAGCATCATGTTTACTTTATTTGTAAGTTCATAGAGGTCTATTAGTGCTCAGCAGCAGGTATACTTTATTTTTGAGCTTATAGAGGTCTCTACTAGTATTTAAAAAAAGGCATACTTCATTTGTACTAGTTTACTTTATTTGTGAGTTTATAGAGGTCTCTACTAGTATTTAACAGCAGGTATACTTTATTGGTAAGTTCATAGAGGTCTCTACTAGTATTTAACAGCAGGTTTACTTTATTTGTGAGTTCATAGAGGTCTCTACTAGTATTTAACAGCAGGTATCCTTTATTTGTGAGCTTATAGAGGTCTCTACTAGTATTCACAGCATATGCTGAGATTTGAATTCCTTGGATTTGTAAATTTTGAAAATTCATATCGATTCAAGCTTTACTGAGACAAAAATAGACGCCTTTTTTTTGTTGGGTTTTTGCTTCAAAAATCTCAGCTCATGCATACTTTATTTATGAGTTCATTACATGTCTCGACTCGTTTTGTAAAGCAGTCGAATTTAACCAACACAGTTAAAAATATATATATTTAGGTTATTTCTGGCCGAGGGTTTCTCGTCATATCTCATTTGCTGTCGAAAGCCAGCAGGTTTGGAATTTTTCTATTTCTGAGATTAAAAACTGATGGTAAATTTTGTATCTATCCATTTCGCTTCTTTTTTCTTAAGAAAAGAGACAGAATTACATCTTCATCTCGAATATGACCTTAGAAACGAACAAAAACAAAAAAGCAGAACAAAATTAATATTATAAAATAAAAAAGTCATTAAGTTCTTATCTCATGAAATATCTATCTATCTCTAAATTATTTATCTATCTCTATCTATCTATCTTATATTTCACCAGAATTAACTTGAGATTAAATTAATTAGTGCCAAAATTATATTTTGGCTTTGTGCAATGTGCATTTTGGGATTCCAACTATCTTAACTGTAACTTAGTGTCGTATCTATCTATCTAAATATCTATCTAACTATCTATCTCTCTATCTATCTATCTATCTATCTATCTATCTATCTATCTATTCTATCTATCTGTCTATCTATCTATCTATCTATCTATCTATCTATCTATCTATCTATCTATCTATCTATCTATATATCTATCTATCTATCTATCTATCTATCTATCTATCTATCTATATATCTATCTATCTATATATCTATCTATCTATCTATCTATCTATCTATCTATCTATTTATCTATCTATCTATCTATCTATCTATCTATCTATCTATCTATCGATCTAAATATCTATCTATCTATCTATCAACATGTGTCACTCACAAAGGATGAGACTGTAAAGACGACTTGAAACTCTTAAAAATAAGACGATCACAAGTCTATATTAAGTATTTTGCTTTAAATGTGGTCTTATAAGGTCTTTTTTATTGATTTGGCAAAGAAAGTAAGAAGTTTACAGTTGCAGGGAATCATGAATATAAGGAAACTGACGGTTTAAATTACGTATAGTCGTCTCTGATGTCTCATCCTTTGTGGGTAACCCTGTATCTAGAAGACCTTTCTATCCAATAACTATTTCTTTCTATTTATGTTTCTATCTATATTGCTTCTTAAATCCAGATCTATTATTTATTGTCAATCAACTAATCATGTAAGAAACCAAGATGAAGTAAGCAAAGCATGTTTCTCACTTTGCGGATATTCGAACTTTCTCACCTCTTTTTTTTATCACCTTGAACAATAACTGCAGGGAGCATCTGACCGGGGAGCTGTTGAACACCTTCTTAAAACTCACCAAGTTCCTGGTCACGGCTCAGAACAATAACAGTGATCTACTTCTCAAACAGTTGCTAGGTACTAGAATATAAAGTAATCCTTATTCTTTTATTTTCTAATCTTTCTTTTCAATCTGACGTTTAGTTCGGGCTATTTGATCGAGAATACTTTTAGTTAGAAATATATTAAAGGTTTCAAATATATGTATCAACATTTGGTCTGCCCTTCTTTTAGTATTTCCGAAATATAACCCAACCTAGCCCCTCTGCATTCATTTAATGTATGAAAAATATCAATAATCATGAGTTAATATAAAAATTTTACAATATACCTGATAAAGAAACATTTTTAAAACATCAATTTTTAAACATTTTGTGCAAATAATTATTGCTAAATCCATTCATTGTTAACTGCATAGGAAAAGGCCAATAATTGAAAAAAATTTAAAATTCCGGATTAGCATAAAATTACCCCC